AGAGTCTTGCTCTGTCCTCTAGGCTAGAGTGCAGTAGCACCATCACGGCTCACTGCAGCCATCACCTCTGGAGTTCAAGTGATACTCCCACCACAGCCTCCCAAGTATCTGGGATTACAGGCACGCACCACCACACCTGGCTAATTTTCGTATTTTTAGTAGAGGTGGGGTTTTGTCATGTTTGCCAGGCTGGTCTCAATCTCCTGACCTCAAGCGATGTGCCCGCCTTGGCCTCCCAAAGTGCTGGGATTACAGGCGTGAGCCACCACTCCTGGCCCAAGGACATGTTTAATATATGTATATTTTTTGCAGAGTTAATATTGTTGGCTTTATTTTCATTTTTCTAAAGCAGCTTATAAGATTGAAGGAAAATAAAAAGAGCCAATGGCTAGGCATCAAAGCTTAGTTGAGAAGATAATATCTGATGTATTTAGGTAGAAATTGGATCACGCATGTACTGAGCTTTGCTCTGAGATCTGGCCTTGAGAAAGAGGATTTAAAAATAAATCTAAAATCTTTTTTCCTTGATTATGAAATTTACATATGCTCATTCCTTTATTCAGCAGATATTTATTTAGAACCCCCATGTACCAGATTCTGTTCTATGTCTAGCAGATATTTTGGTGATTAAAACAAAGTCCTTGCTGTCCTGCTGTTTACATTTGTGAGTGTGTGTTGGGATGTGTTTTATGTAGGGAGGAAAATAACATTTGTAATGCTACATCTTAGAGTAGCCTTCCCATTTTTTAAAACGTGCAAATATATTGGTCTATGTGTATAAATACAAACAGAACTCTGTGTGTGTATGTGTGTGTGTATATCTATATGTACGTATGTATGTATTGCTATCTTAACCACATATGTGTGGTTGAGACCACATATGTAATTCTGTGTCTTGCTTTTTTCAATTAACACAGCATTATGAGTATTTTCTCATGTTATTAAATATTCTTTGACAGAGCTGTCTAATCTATTAATAATTTACCCATTTCCCAATTGAAAGACATTTAGGACATTTGTCATACGATTATACATAATCCTGCAATTAATATCTTTGTATCCCATGTTTACCTTCATTTAAATCATTTTCTAGATTTATTTTTAGAACAAGGTTGAGTAAACTCTGGCAGGATTAAGTCCTGACACAGTTTGTCACCTGTGGTATTTCACCTATTGACAGAGAATATAACATTTTTCTTTTTTTTAGACCACCCTGAGCTCTGTTGCCCAGGCTGGAGTGAAATGGTATAATCTCAGCTCACTGCAACCGCTGCCTCCCGGGTTCAAGCAGTACTCCTGCCTCAGACTCCCGAGCAGCTGGAATTACTGGCACCTGCCACCACACCCAGCTAATTTTTATATTTTTAGTAGAGACAGGGTTTCACCACGTTGGCCAGCCTGGTCTCAAACTCCTGACCTCAGGTGATCCACCAGCCTTGGCCTCCCAAAGTGCTAGGATTACAGGTGTGAGCCACCGTGCCTGGCAACATTTTTCTTCTTAATCTTTTTAGGAGGCCAAAAAGACAGGGAAATCTTTCCTTTAACATGTTACCTTTAAGCTTTTATTTGTGCACGCTGAGGAGTAACATGTTTTATTTCCTTTAACATGTTATTTTTAAGCTTTTAAATTTAGCTTGTAACTATTCTGTAGCTACATTGCAGAGCCTTTCTTAGATTTCTATTTCTGATTAAGTCATTGCAGCAATCAGGAAGTCAGTATTAAAGTGCATTTTTTCTGACATTAATTCTCAGTTCCCTAACTGCATGTTAAGCATACCCCTACCAGGGAAATACCTCTTCTGGGGAAAAATCAGATGGTGACAGCATTAGAAGCACAGATGGAATGGAATGGCCTGTTATAATTTGTAATTTAAGGAGTCCCTGTGTCAGTGCTAATAGTGCCAAGAGTTCAGTTAAAATAGTATGGACTCTGAACTACAGGCAGCAGTGGGCTTGTGGGTCTCCTTGGGAGTATCATCAACTAGCACTTTGAGGGCAGGTTAATTGAAAAGACGGCCAGATCTGTGTGAGTGATTTTAATAAACTCAGGGTATTCCTGGGCTGTAGAATAGTTACATAGATTAAGAAGAGAGGGTTGTAAAAGGCAGCAGCTGAATATCACCTTGAGAGTTGAACAGTAATTAACTTTATTTTTAATATAAGAAAATGATTTCATTTGAGAACTGGAAAATGCTAAGGATGTAGCTAGAGAGCAGTAATTATTTTACTGTCTCAAGACAATAGCTAGAGGGTATCAGAAAGTAGTAAATTAACAGTCTGCAGTCTAGCCTATGAAATAATCACACTGAAGAGGTACAAAACTGTGGACACTTGACTTATTCAAACAGAAAGGATAATCGGCTTGTCTGGATTGCACAAGGGTTGGTATTTACGTAGGCAGGTAGTATTTCAGAGATTTTCTACAATAAGAACTTTAGGATTTGGTAATACTACTACTGTATTGTATATTTCTTCAAGTACATTAATTTGTGACTTTCCTAAAACCCTGCAGAAGAGAAAACGGTCTCTTAGGTTGATTTGCCTAAGTCATAAAACACACCTTACCTTTTCTGATTCTTAATCCAATGAGTCATTTTCAGTTCACCTTAATGCCTCTGGTTTTAATATGGACATCTGTCTCTCTATTGATAGTTGAGGTTTTGCCATGTTGGACAGGCTGGTCTCGAACTCCTGACCTCAAGTGATCCACGCGCCTTGGCCTCCCAAAGTGCTGGGATTACAGGTGTGAGCCACCATGCCTGGCTTAGTCCATACTTGGAAGATTTTGTTTATAGCTGCAACTGTCACTGATTCTAGTTATGAGTATCTTATGATATATTCTAGTATTGTTTTGTTTGTACACTTATATATATTACAAATTACTTTCATTTTGTTTCTCCTTTATATTGTAGTTAGACTATTTTTTTGTAATTAAGTATATCATAAATTTGAATTTCATTTCATGTACTAAAGGGAGAGTTCTAAAATATTTGTTTATGGCCAGGCATGGTGGCTCATGCCTGTAATCCCAGTACTTTGGGAGGCCAAGGCAGGCGGATAAACTGAGGCCAGGAGTTCAAGACCAGCCTGGCCAACATGGCAAAACCCCATCTCTACTAAAAATAAAAAAAATTAGCCTGGCCTGGTGGCATGTGCCTATAATCCCAGCTACTCAGGAGGCTCAGGCAGGAGAATCACTTGAACCCAGGAGGCAGAGGTTGCAGTGAGCCAAGATCATGCCACTGCACTCCAGCCTGGGTGAAAGAGCGAGACAGACTCTATCTCAAAAATAAAAAATAAAAATAAATATCTGATTAATGTTTTTGGTTCTAGGATTTGCTTTCCCCCACTGAAAGCTAATAAATTATCCTGTTAGTAATGTTTCATGGCTGTTGGTAGAAAAGACAGTATTCTTGGGTCAGAGAAAGTCCTTGCTATGCTCAGTAATTTTATTTTCTTACAAAATTATAGGGGTAGATTTTTAAATTTTCAATTAATACCTATTTTATAGAGGAAAAAACAGCATTAAGTGATTAAGTAACTTGAACAAGGTCCGCTCAGCTAGTAAGTGGCAGAACCAGGATTGGAAGTTTCTTTGAGCCCATCCTGTTACCCTCTATATACTAGGCTAACTATTCGAATCCCTGTTTGTTGGGTTGAGAGATCTGTATATATCTTCAGATTGAGATTTTAGGCTGCGCGCAGTGGCTCACACCTGTAATCCCTAGCACTTTGGGAGGCCAAGTTAGGCAGGTCGATTGAGCCCAGGAGTTTGAGACCACGCTGAGCAACATAGTGAAGCCCCGTCTCTACAAAAAAATACAAAAATTAGCTGGATGTGATGGTGCGTGCCTGCATGCCTGTGGTCCTAGCTACTTGGGGGGCTGAGCTGGGAGGATCACTTGAGCCTAGGAAGTTGAGGCTATAGTGATCTGTGTTTGTGCCATTGCATTGTTGCCTGGGTGACAAAGTGAGACCCTGTCTCAAAAAAAAAAAAAAAGACTTAAATTTTGTGTTCTTTGTTCTGTATTTTAACTAATTTCTAGGTTGTTTTATATATCAATTTTTTTTTTTTTTTTTTTTTTTTTTTTTTTTTTTTTTTTTTTTTTTTTTTTTTTTTTTTTTGAGACAGGGTCTTGCTCTCTCATCAAGTCTGTATTGCAGTGGTGCTATCACAGCTCACTGCAGCCTCAACCTCCCAAGCTCAAGCCACCCTCCCGCCTCAGCCTCCAGGGAGGACTACAGGCACATGCCACCAGCCCTGGCTAATTAAAAAAATTTTTTGTGTAGAGATGGGTTCTTCCTGTGTTACCCAGGCTAGTCTCAGAACTCCTGGGCTCAAATGATCCTCCCACCTCAGCCTCCCAAAGTGCTGGGATTACAGGCCTGATCATGGCCAGTATATAAATTACTGATGGAAATGTTAAAATGTTAAAATCTGCAGATTTTGTCCATTTTTCTATATAATTCTGACTTTTACATTTACATATTTCAAAGCCATATTTGAAAGCTGTCTATAGCTATATATAAAATATATAATTTTTTATAAGAAATAATTATATATTAAAAAAAATACAAAGCTCTATGTATATATGTATATACAAATATATACAAAGCTATATATAATTTACATATTTCAAAAGTATATACAAGTTCGGGAATTTTAATATTTTTGGTGAATTGCTTTCCTTATGATCATTCTATTTACTTATTTTGCTTTAAATAATGTGTATGTATTAGTATTATTAATGAGCTATTTTGGGAGTTGGTGTTTGTCTGATATTTCTTTCCCATAACTTTATTTTCAGTGTTCCTATTTGATTTTGTTGTAGGTATGTTTCTTAAGCATATAGCTATAGTTGGGGGGTTTTGTAAAAAATTTAGTCCTGTAGTCTCTGGGTTTTGTTTCGTTTTTGAGATGAGCTCTTGCTGTGTTGCCCAGGATGGTCTCTTTGTTAGTCTGTTCTCACGCTCTTAATAAACACATACCTTAGATTGAGCAATTTATAGAGGAAAGAGGTTTAATTGACTCACAGTTCCACATGGCTGGGGAGGCCTCACAATCATGGAGGAAGATTAAGGAAAAGCAAAGGAATGTCTTATCCGGAGGCAGATAAGAGAGATGAGAGCCAAGCAGAAGGGGAAACCCCTTATGAAACCATCAGATCTCATGAGACTTATTCACTACTAAGAGAACAGAATGGTGGGAAACAACTCCATGATTCAGTTATCTCTCACACAGTCCTTCCCACAACACATGGGAATTATGAGAGCTACAGTACAAGATGAGATTTGGGTGGGGACACAGCCTAACCATGTCAGTCTCCAACTCCTGGGCTCAAGCAATCCTCCCACCTTGGCCTCCCAAGTCACTGGAACTACAGGTGCACATCACCATGCCAAGCAGGTCTCTGTCTTTTAAAAACTCTGTGCATCTGTAGCAAATTTTAATTCACAAAGGTTACTTTTCAGTAGTTACTTGTTACTGTAGTTGAGGTAAGGGGAGCCTAAGCAACATTTTATGACTTGGTCTCTACAAAAAAAGTTACAAAAACTTAGCCACGCATGTTGGTTTGTGCCTGCAGTAGTCTCAGCTACTTGGGAGGCTGAGGTGGGAAGATTGTTTGAACCCAGGAGTTCAAGGCTGCAGTAAGCCATGTTCATGCCACTGCACTCCAGCCTGGGTGACAGAGTAAGACTCAAAAATAATTATCTGGAGATACTAATTTGTTGAGAATTTGAGTTTTGTTTCTGTATTTTGAGTGTAATACAAGTTCAAAGTGTAGTATGTTTCTCAGAGCCAACATGGTGCTGATGGAGTGAGCTATTTGTGCATTTTAAACTGAAACTCTTTCAGTGTTAGCCCTTTATCAGCTTTGCATCTCTAAAGCACTTAAGACTGTCTTAGAAAGGCATGTATTAGAGTACATCCCTTGGTTTGGAATAAAAAGGATTATTAGAGCATATCCCTTGGTTTGGAATAAAAAGGATTATTAGAGCACATCCCTTGGTTTGTAATAAAAAGGACAAAGTCTTTCAGAGTTAAATTTAAAGCAGAAGAAATTGAGATGTTTTTACTTTAAGGAGAAGTTGTAAAAAAATACTGATTTGGAATCTCTGTAAGTGACTTCTGTATTTTTGTAGACCCACCTAGGCTGTGTAGAATACAATGTGGTTAGAATCTTTTAAACTAAAATAAGCCAGTATATTGTTTATTAAACTTTCTAGGGAAATGAGCAGAATACTCTGAATATTCCCTTTTCTTTCATTATTTTTTTTTTATCTTAAAAAGGAGTAAATTGCATGGATGACTTGAAGTGGCAAGTTGGTATTTATTATTTGAATAAACAAAAATTTTTTGGACATAGTGTGAAAATCCTTATTTAAGTTATTAGGGCAGAATTGTCAATTTTTAAAATAATCTCAATGGCAAAGTAGAGCTGTGAAGAAAAAGTTAGGAATAATAACTGTGTTCAAGATGAAAGATGAAGAACAGCTGTAAAGATTCATTGAAGGCTAAAGATCTACCCAAAACCAAGGTTCCACCAAGGGAAGAATTCAAGAACAGACAAGGTAGTTTTTCTATAATAGGAGGAATAAATGGGATAAACTTACCAAGGTAAGCTTACCAAGCACAAGCCTCCTAGATATTAGGCTTATCTGTACAGGGCTTTATACAGGCAGATAAGTACTATATTTTCTTAAACTGATTTCTAAGGGTTATGATTAATAAAAACCTCTTACAGCTATGTACTAAAAAGTGGTCCAAGTTAGGAAGATCGTTAAGCCCCTGGACCTGCTGTGATTGAACTTTTATTTTTTAGTCTCAGCTTTTCCTTACCGGCTCATTAATCTTCATGTTTTTTCCATCTAAAGAAAGCCCACCTTTAACCTGCAGAAAACACCGGTAATGCCTTTGGAGAAGATAACAGGCATTTCTTGCCCCCAAAGTAGTGAAAGGCAGTGTGTATTGTCAGAATGCACCCCCTCCACCCTCCTGTTACCCACGCTGGCTCTTATTCTGTGCAGTGTGGCTTCCTGTTGTGGTGCATGGCCCCAAGCCCTTCTAATGGGGCTGAACTGCTCTACAAGCGCATCATCCGTCCTTTCTTCCTGAAGCATGAGTCCCAGCTGGACAGTGTGGTCAAGGACCTAAAGGACAAAGCCAAGGAGACTGCAGATGCCATCACTAAAGAAGGTAAGACTGAGGAATAACATGGCTCCACATGTGAGAGATGTGATACACTAGGCTCAAATAACAGGCTTCCTGGCCTTCTTGTCTCATCAGCATCCCTCAGCCAAATGCCAACAGCATCCCTCAGCCAAATGCCAACATTACTCTGGGATTTCTTTACAAAGTCTTTGCCTATTGCCCTTCACTTTTCCCAAGACTCTTCCTCCATGCCACATTTAATGAGCATTCAGTCAGAACATTAGGAAAAATGAGTTTCCTTGGTAGCCAGCAATTTTAGAGAATCATCTATATTCACATTCATGTACATCTTTTCTAATTGTTTAATTTTTTTTGCATTATACTTTTTAATTGCATAGGTAGTTTTAAATAAATGGAGAAAGCACCTTCCAGAAACTATACTAGCAGGAAAAATTCCATCAAGCATTTACATAAATCTCTGTAATTTTACAAAAAATTCTTCATCTTTACTTGAACTGTACATAAAGGGAAAAGAGCCCCTCAGGTTGGTGTTCTCTCTGCTTGCAGAAGCAAACTAAAGGACCTGAAACTAGAGGCAAGCCTGGGATACTAAGAAGCGGGGAGGAGAAATGATAAAGAGCCATTCGTGAATTCCCTGTCTCTTCTAAGACACTTGTCTAATCACCCTAACATAATAAATATTTAGGTCAAAGTACCATTCTTTAGAAAAAGTACAACCTCAAAAGCTGTAGTTCTGAATTACAGTAACATCTTGAATACCTTGGATTGCTGGATGCCAAAAGACAAAACTTAGGGTTATCTGAGGTTTGAACAGATAAATACTTGAGAATTCTCTAGGACTGTACACTTTCTGTTCTGGCTTTCTGAATGAAGCACAGGCAGGCTTCTCTGTTACCCTCCAAGCAGTTTAATAGTCAAGGAAAAGGGCAACAGTATTGGATCACTCCTTAGACACTAACCAGCTGAGGAAAGAGTTCATTGGCCAAAGTCTCCTCCCTAGAATGGTGTGCAACAAGCAGAGAGGACATGTTGCTGCAGGGGAAAGGGAAGCCCTCATACCCACAGTCACTATAAACATCCAGTAGACAGGAAGATGGCTTCAGGCAATGGCTGGATGAAAGTGGATTTGAGATACCCAGGTCTAGAATGAAGTCATCTTCTACAGGGTCTTCCTTCACTCAGACAATGAATTCTGGGTGATCATTCTCTGAGAGGCTGAGAGGTGCTTCCTTGATTTTCACTACCACATTAGCTTGGCCCTCTGTCTCAGACTACGGGCTTGGCATATATGTAGTCAAAATGAATGAGTTCATTAGCAGCTTTGAGCCTGGCTGATAATGCCTCCACCGACAGAGAAAGGGAAGCTGCTTAGGTGGGTCTTTCTGAGTGGACCTCTGGGAGCTGCTCCAGGCTGGCAGACTCTGGGGAAGGACATCTGAAGAACACTACTGGGTCCAAGTTGTCCAGAATACCCAACAGGATATCATACTGGAAGTGAGAAGATATTTGTTTACTTTCAACCCCACCAAAACGAACTTCTACCCTCATCTGCCTAGTTAGGGATATCAAGCATCAAATAGATGGAATTAACTTGGCTTCCGCCTCCTCTTCAGTAACCAGGGCAACCATGCCTAAGTGCTATCTTCACTCACGGTTCTCAACTATGGTCCATGCATTTTCTCTCATAAAAGCTGATTTTCTAGTAGATGTTTTTGGTTCTGTTCTAAATCTACCACTTGCTGTTTCAGCTCACTCATTTGAGCTTGCTGTCTCTGGCAGTCTGAGCTGCTACCCTGTTTTTCAGTTTCCTCCTCAGCATCTTCTCCTTGGGTCTCCCACACCCACACCACTCACCATCTCCTGGCTGGCTCCTCTCTGGGCTGGCACCATGAGCGGCAGGGTTTAGCTGGCCAGGGCTGTAGTAGCAGGCTGACTAGACTGAAGCAGTACTTTGGGCGCCCTGATGGCTAGCCTAATTCAGTTCGTTCAGTATGCTGTTCAATTTTTGTTATGGGTACAAAAGAATGTCCTCTCTCAGCTCTCCTGATTCATTCACTCAATAAGTATTTACTTACTGAGGTGTTTAATATGTGCCAAGCACGTTCCTAACACAGGCAGTGAACCAGCAAATCAAAGAGACTGTACTCCATGAATTCATGAAACTTACAGTCTTGTTGAGAGATGGCCAGTAAAATTGAAAATTGGATGGTATATTTAGCAGATGATATAGGGAAAAAATAAAGCAAGTAGAAAGATAGGGAGGGCCAAGGACTGGAGGGATGGTTAAGATTTTAAATAGAGACATTTAGGAAATCTATACCAGAAGGCTCTATTGAATCAGACTCGAAAGTAGTAAAGGAATCAGGGACACTGACTCAGCCTGTAATGTCAACATTTGGGAGGCCAAGGCAGGAAGATCACTTGAGGCCAGGAGTTTGAGACCAGCTCATTTGTGATGGGTTTCCTATGGAAACCTGCTCTCTAGAAAAATTAAAAAATTAACCAGGCATTGTGATGCACGCCTGTGGTCCCAGCTACGCAGGAGGCTGAGGTAGGAGGATCACTTGGGCCCAGGAGGTCAAGGCTACAAGTGAGCCATGCCACTCTAGCCTGGGTGACAAAGCAAAACCCTTTCTCCCTAAAAAATAAAAGAGAGAGAAAATGGCAAAGGAAGGAACCATGGGGAATCACACTCCAGAAAGAGCTGCATGTGTAGAAGTCGATTGAGGTGGGAGCAACAGAAGTGGTCTAGAGGGGTGCAGGAGATGAGGTGAGAGAGGCTGGGGGTGGAGGCTGGAAGACAGATCACATAAGGCCTTATAGGCCATTGTAAAAATTTTGGCTTCTACTCTGTGTGGAGGTGTTGGAAAATTTTAACAGAGGACTGAAATGATCTGTTCTGTTCTGTGTTTTAACAAGACGCCTGTGGCCACTATATTAGGAACAGACTGAATGCGGGTAAGGGAGGAAACTGGGAGAACAGTTAAAAGGTTCCTGCAGTGACCTGACTAAAGGTGATAATGGTGGCTTGGTTCCTTCTGTAGCAGCAGGGGGTAAGAAGTAGCATATTCTTGATATATTTCAAAGGTAGAACTACTGGGATTTGCTTATGGATTGGGCATAGGTCTGAGGGGTGAAGGACAAGCTTTTTAGCCTGAACAAATGGAAGGATAAAATTGCCACTGAGCTGGAGAAGACTGGGTAGAACAGGTTTTTTAGGGGCAGGGGGTTGTGGGGAGAGATGTGGAATTCAGTCCTGGACATTCACTTGAGATGTCTGTTAGATAACTACAAGGATTAGTCAAATAGCTGGTTGGATATAGGTGTCAAGAGTTCAGGAAACAGGTCTGGACTGGAGATATAAATTTGGGGGCCACAAGCTTATACATATTAAGCATAAGACTGGATGAGATCATGAAGATAGTGTAGTTAGGAAAGAGGAGGTCCAAAGACTGAACCCTGGGGAGTCTAATGTGTAGAGACTGGAGAGATGAGAAGCAACCAGCAAAGCAGACTGATAAGGAGTGGTCAGTTGAGGTAGCAAGAAAACCATGAGCATGGTATCCTTGGGCCAAGAATAGAAAGTATGTTTCAGAGAGGACAAGTGATCTATCATGTCGCATGCTGCTGACAGGTCAAGAAAGATAAGGACTGAGAACTGAGCAGATTTAGCAATGAGGAAGGTACTAGTAATTTTGATGACACAGATTTTGTGGAGTGGTAGCAAACTCCTGATTGCAATGGATTTGAGCGAATGACAGGAAAGAGATGAGAAAATACAGATTTATTTTGAGAAATTTCCTGCAAAGGAGAGCAGAAGAATGGAGCTGTAACTGGAAGAAGGAATTAGGGTCCTGAAATTTTAAAAGTTTTTTTTGTTAAGGTAGGAGAAACAAAGCCTGTTTGAAAACTAATGGGAATAATTCAACAGAGCAAGAAATGATGAGAGGAGTGAGGATGAATTGCTGGAGCTCTGTCCTTGACCAGTGAAGGATCTAGTAAACAGTAGAGGGATTGGTCAGAAGAGCTGGAAGTTTATCATAACAGTAGGGAAATCAAGGTTTATCACATGTGCTGTACGTGAGCACATGTGTTATGGTAGCCTACAGAAGTGATTTTCTGATTGCTTCAAATTTCTCAGTAAATTAGGAAGAAAGGCCAATTGAGAGAGGATGGGGAAGGAGACTATGGAAAGAGAAGGTATGAAATAGTTGGGAAGGAGAGAGCCTGCTCAACTTTTTCTGTAAAAGGCCAGATAACATGTTTTAAATTTTGTGGGCCATCAGGTCTCTGTTGCAGCTACTGTCCTCTGCCATTGTAGTGTGAAAGCAGCCATGGACAACACATAAGTGCGTGTGGCTGCCGTGTGCTGGCCCCTCTAGGACAGTGGGAGAGTAAATGGACTGGGACAATGTCCTGTGACTGCCAGGCAGTGTTAAAGGCATGCTTGAGATTTGTGTTCATGAGTTTATAGTGAAGCTAGTTCTTGTGTGTGTTTTCCTCCAGCCATACTCACCTACATGAGTACAGCTGCAGAGTAGGTGAAGTTGTGTCAAGGTTGTGATTTCCAGCAAGAACTATGAAGTCAGCGTGGGACTGTGGAGTGATTAATGCTTGACAATGGAATTTAACCTGAGTAAGGTGGGAAGTGGTGGAGGAAGAACTCTGTATCAGGATAATAGCGGGAATACTCCATCATCATCTACAATGAGCAAAAAAAGGGGGGTTGGGGAGTGCACTACAAAGTTAAAAGGTGACAGTGGGAGAATGGGATGCTTAATACAAGATTATGGATGGACTACAGTATTGGTAGTAACAAGGATCCTGGGAGTCAGTGTCATATGTAGGGTGGAATATAAAGGTTATTGGAGGGGAGGGTCTAAGAGGTCAGGATATTAGATCATGTATGTCTACATGGATATTAAAATCATTATTAAAATAGGAGTAGTAGGGCAGGTGCAGTGGCTCATGCCTGTAATCCCAGCACTTTGAGAGCTGAGGTGGGTGGATTGCTTGAGCTCAGGAGTTTGAGACCAGCCTGGGCAGCATGGTGAAACCCAACCTCTACAAAAAATAAAAAATTAGCCAAATGTGGTGGTGCACACCCATAGTCCCAGCTACTCAGGAAGCTAAGGTGGGAGGATCACCTGAGCCTGGGAGGTCGGGGCTGCAGTGAGTTGAGATAGCATCACTGCACTCCAGCCTGGGTGACAGAGTGAGACCCTGTCTCTACCAATCAATCAATAAAATAGGAGTAGTGTTAGAAAGGAACATTAATAGGAGCTAAAATCTTCAAGAAATAGGTAGGATAGACCAAGAGTCAGGGATGACAGGGAAAAGGAAGGCTAATGGATGATATAATCTGATGACATGAGATTCTGGGAGTAAAGAAACAGCCACCACTTGAGAAAGCAATGTCCTCAAGGCACAGCCAGATTCTCTAAGAGCAAGAAAGAAAAGGAAACATTTGGAGGAATGGGTGAGGATATAGATTTTGCAGATGATGGGTCTTGAGTTCCAAGAGACTCAAGGGTTTTAGAAATTGGAGAAAGGTGGGCAGTGGAAACAGAATACGTTTTTGTTTGTTTGTTTTTAGAGCACTGTGGTAGTTAGACGTGGGAGTTGTGAGGTGGCCTGACCACTGGGGAAGTAAAATCCTAAGACAGTTCTCCAGCAACACTAATGCCCCAGAGGTGATATGTTCCTCATTTCTCCCTCACAGACCTCTCTCCTCTGGACTCGTTTCTGGGCATACATATCCAGTCTACCTCAGTATGTTTTTCTGCAGTTTTAGGTGTTTTCTAACTTGTAGCCTTAACTTCCTCCCACTTTAGGATTGCCAGCTTTTTTTTCTTTTTTTTGAGACAGAGTCTCACTCTGTTGCCCAGGCTGGAGTGCAGTGGCACAATCTCCGCTCAGCAGCCTCTGCCTTCCAGGTTCAAGGGATTCTCCTGCCTCAGCCTCCCAGGTAGCTGCAATTACAGGCCCCCGCCACCATGCCTAGCTGATTTTTGTATTTTTAGTAGAGACAGGGTTATGCCATGTCGTCCAGGCTGGTTTCAAACTCCTGGCCTCAAGCGATCCACCCACCTCAGCCTCCCAAAGTATTAGGATTACAGACATAAGCCATCATGCCCGGCCAGGATTGCCAGCTTCTTTTTAAGAGCTATCTTTTCTTCTCCCTTCTCTTAGCCTAACCAGCAGCCTATGGTGATGTCACTTCTGTCTACTTAACTCACATTTCTTAGCCTCTTGGTTCCCTTAGATATCAGTACTTAAAATCCAATCTTATTTTGATTTGAAACATCCCTAAACAGGGGCATGAGAATTAAAATAAGATAGGAGGAATTTTCTCAAAGCTTTTGGATTCACTAGGAATTTTTACAAAGAGTTAGTTAAGGGAAGGACTACAGTTTCTCCTTTGTTGTGAACTTGGTTCAGCAATTTTAATTGAGTGAAGGGAGAGCAGCTGTCAGGCAGCTGGTGGACAAAAG